CAACTCTCGCTGGGAGTGCTCGGTTGTGGCTGCCTTGCCGTCTCCCTCCCCCGTTGAGCCGCTCCCTGTTGCTGCCTCCTCTTTCATCTCCACATCCTGGGGGGCCGGCGGCGGCGGTTCTTGTTCCCCTCCCGGAGGCGGCTTTGCCTTGTCGGCGCCTCGGCGCCGCGCCGAGCCCTCCTGCTTCATGGCGCCCGGGGTCGCGGCCTGGTCCGGGGACCGAGGCAGGGGCCTCGCCTAAACCCTCACACCAGAGACCAGGCACAGAGCCGGGCCTGCACACCAGCGCGCGCTCGCGTCGGGCCGCACGATGACCGAGCAGCTGCAAACTCCTTCCCGGCGCTGGGGCTTCTGGGAAATGCCAGGCCCGGCGAGCGGATGGCCGAGTCCAGGGAGGGGAGAGAAATCAACAGCCGAGGTGCACGATGAAGGCGGATCTTCCAGGAAGGGGGAGGAGTCCGCAAGAATTTGTGGGGCTTAAGAGTGGTGATTTTATTTTCCTCTCGAGTGCGTATCTCCGGATGTCCGCGAGAGGTCCCTCTTAGGCTCCAACCTGGGCTACCACAGACTCTAATACGTAAGTGGATAGGACCTATCCGAGCGCAGATCCTGAAGACATCACAAGTTGCCGGGCTTTTTTTTTTTTTTCCTTTCTCTTCTCCGCCCGGCAAACTCTCCCAGTTTGCGCAGGTCAGGTCCTCTGTGAAATCCGTCAGGCTCGCGCTCTCAACGCACGCCGGGTGCTTCCAGCGCCGGGAAGAAGAGAGCCTGTGTGCTTGTAGCTAGGCTGTTAGATTGAACTGAGCTCTACCCCTTGGCATCCGAACTTCCTTGTCAAATTTTTGTATAGTGCTGAATATAAGGTAGACCTTCTCTGCAGCCTGAGGGTATGTTGGGGTAGGGTGTATTTGTGTAGAATTAGTCAAATTTAATAATAGGAGGCCACATAGTATACAGCTCAGGGCCAATATGTAGAGGATTGTTGCGAAACCCAGATCAAGTAAGGCTCATTCCTTTAACCCCTGCGGCGAGCTCCCTGACCAGCAGGAAGGAACAGCCACCAGACGAGGAGTCTTCTCAAATCACACTTTATTGGAGCCTCTTGGTTGTAGGGAGAGCAGAAAGTAAGGGGCAAGGGGCGCTGAACTATAGCTGCTTATATAGGGAGTCTGCCTAGCAACTTTTGATACTTTGATTCTGGAGACCCACCGGCAGGAAAGAAAGCAGGGGAACATCCTTGTCAATTACAGACCAGGATGTTCCCCTGCCGGTCAGGGGAAGTGTGGGCAGCTAGATCACAACAACTCACCCTGTTTTCCGGTGGAAGAAATGGAACCCTAATATGGAGTTATCTATCAAGCAAGGCTGGCGCCAAATGCCATCTTGTAATGGCAGCTATTCAAATCGGCTCCCAGCAAACCCCAGCCCTCGGGAGGCAGAGGCAGGCTGATCTCTGTAAGTTCGAGGCCAGCCTGGTCTACAGAGCGAGTTCCAGGACAGGCTCCAAAGCTACAAAGAAACCCTGTCTCGAAAAATAGAACAAAACAAAAGTAGGGCCAGATGTAGTGCCATCGTTAATCTCAGCACTAGGGAAGAGGATCTACATAGCAAATTCCAAAAAGGAAGAAGAAGGAGAGGGAGAGGGAGGAAGTGGAGGAGAAGGAGGAGGAGGCGGAAAAAGAAAGGAAAAAAAAGTAATATGGGCCCACAAGGATAAAGGACCTTGTTGCCAAGTGTGGAGACATGAAGACATGAGCTTAATCCCTAGGTTCCATGGTAGAACGAGAGAAGAGTCCCACAGGTTGTACTCTGACCTCCACAAGCATGCCATCACAGCACGCCCCCAAAAATAAATGAGAGAGAGAGAATGTAATGTACCCAGACAAGCACTATGTTCCACTCCAGTAATCCCAGTAAGGAAAAACAATTGTCATTACTTGGAGGTTAGCCTGGGCTACATAGTTTCAGGAAAGCCTGAGCTACAGTGTGACAGCCTGCTGCCTCCTCAAACACAAAACAACCGGATGAGCAAGGTGAGTTAGCAGATAAAGGCATTGCCACAAGAGAGGGTGAGGAAAAAGTTGACACTCTACATGTTCTGCTTTGGGACCCGGTGTGCTGTGGGGAGGGAAGGAAGATGCTCTAAGGGAGCAGTTTGCGGAGGCCTGTGAATGGGGAGCAGAATGATGTCCTTTGTGGGGTGCACAGATGGAAGAAGACTGGACCAGAAAGCCTTCCCATCGGCACAAAACAAAACTCCAGCATGGAAACTTGATCTCCTCTATAAAAAGAGCTGGGACTGGCTCAGCACAGGCTTGAACAGGGATTCAGAAGACACAGAATGTGTCTCTTTTATAGTCCAAGTCCTCAAGACGTCTATGTTTGTTTGTTTGTTTTGGTTTTTCAAGAGAGGGTTTCTCTGTAGCTTTAGAGCCTGTCCTGGACCTAGCTTTGTGGACCAGGCTGGCCTCGAACTCACAGAGATCTGCCTGCCTCTGCCTTCCAAGTGCTGAAATTAAAGGCATGTGCCACCACCACCCAGTGTTGTTTGGTTTTTGAGACTCACTCTGTAGCCCTGGCTGGCTTGTAACTCATAGAGCTTCACCCCCTGTCTCCAGAGCACTGGGATAAAAGGCATCTAGATCCTTCTCTGCCCCGTCACACCTGGCAGCTGCATATATTTTAAATTTTTCATTCACGTATGTGGTTAGTTGGGGGCCACTCTTCTCATGTATGTGAGGGAGTCAGAGGACACCCCTTCCCACCTGGGGCCTGGCAGTTGAAGTCAGGTCGTGAGACTCAGCAGCAAGTGCTGCTGAACCACCTTGCTGGTGTCCCTACTTATCACTTGTATGATTTTTATTCTATTGCGGCAAATAATTCTCAGTACTAGGCAGCCACTCGGCAAACAGAAATGTGTGCTCCACTTCTAGGGCGCACACCTGGACCTGTTCTCCCAAGCTGTCCTTCCACCGTCCCCCCCTCAGTGCTGGGGGACAGAGAACAGAGCTTTCTAATGAGCACAGGGATAAACTTACTAAAGACTCTCATGACACCCTGGACTTCAGGTGGCGGGAATGGCGAAGGGAGAAAGCAGACCAGCTTTGTCATTCATCCTTCCAATCACGGAAGTTACCTTGCTGGCTGCTAGTTAAGATGTCAGCTCGCCTCTGTGAAGTTTACAGCATGGGGAACAAATGAATAAGTCACCAGAGAAGACCGCAGTAGAACCCGAGGGCTTCCAAAGATGCCAGGAGCGGGGGAGGAGGGCTAACCGTGAAGCTTTTGGCAGCTGGTCGTGATGAGTCTTGCTGTGGAGGAACTGGCCTGGGCAAGGAGGTCGGTAAGAAGTGGGAGATTCTGACTCCGGGGGCCTTGGAGATATAGTCTACTCATAAAATTGCTTGAAAAGAGATTGATGTGTATAATACGTGTGGGTGTGGGCGTAGGTGTGGCTCGGAATGCTGGGGAAATGACTCAGAGGTTAAGAGCGCCGACTGCTCTTCCAGAGGACCTGGGTGTGAGCCCAGCACCCACACGGTGGTTCACAGCTGTCCATACTCCGGTTCCCTCCAGGGATCCAGCCTTCTCTTCTGGCATCTGAGAGCACCAGGCATGCAAGTGGTACACATACATACATGCAGGCAAAATACCCATACATGTAAGAGGGAAGGGGAGATGGAGATATTGGTGGGTTGGTGAGATGGTTTTGCTCAATGCCAAGCCTGACGACTGATCCAATTCTTGGATCCTACATGATGGGAAGAGAGAACCAACTCCCAGAAGTTGTCCTCTGACCCATACAAGCATGGCATGGCACAATGCAGCCCCCATAAATAAGTGCAAATACACAAGACTGGTGACACATGTTCAAAGCCCATCTTAGGCGGAAGGCGATAGGAACCCAGAAATTTGATGAGATTAAAGTATATTGGCCAAGCCTATCTGTATTATTTCCTCCCACACCCATCCTGAATTGAGGCTGAAAACAAAACAAAAAGCGGAAAGAAAGCAAGTATCATTTAACGCGGTGGTTCTCAACGCCCGAACGCTTCGATGCTTCTATACCGTTCCTCGTGTTGTGGTGACCCCCCAACCACAAAATTATTTTCGTTGCTTCTTCATAACTGTAATTTTGCTACCGTTATGAATCGTAATGTGAATATCTGTGTTTTCCGATGGTCTTTGGTGACCCCTGTGAAAGGAATGATTGACTCTCAAAGGGCCCCTTCCCCTCTTCCTCTTTTCTAATTAAAATTTTTTATTTTATATGTGTGGCTGTTTTGCCTGCATGTTTATGAACCACATACAAGTAGGACCCTTGGAGGCTAGAAGAAGGCCTTAGATCCCCTGTGATCACATCACATGGGTACTGGGAATTGAACCCAGGTCCTCTGAAAGAGCAACAAGTGCCCTTACCCCTAAGCCAACTTTCCAGCTCCCTAAAAAAAAAAAAATTTAAGGGGCTGGAGAGATGGCTCAGTGGATAAGAGCATTGCCTGCTCTTCCAAAGGTCCTGAGTTCAATTCCCAGCAACCACATGGTGGCTCACAACCATCTGTAATGGGGTCTGGTGCCCTCTTCTGGCCTGCAGGCATACAACAGACAGAATATTGTATACATAATAAATAAATATTTAAAAAAAATTTAAAACAAGGTCTCACTATGATCACCTGCAGTTTTTCTTAACCATCTTGAAAACTTGTGTTTGTTTGTTTGGGGCTTATATCATCCGCCTCTAGACCTTTCCCTCTCCCAAGCCCTCACCCAGGACTAGAGGACGTGGGCTCCTTGATGAACGCATACGGTTTTGATGCTCTTCTGCATGTAGAGCGGACAGTGTGCACTGTAACCCCCTGGGCTCTTGGAGCATCTTCCAGCCAGCCCGAGGACAGTGTGAGCAGAGTCACGTACACATGGATAACGTCTGCTTCTTTACCTGGCACAAATGACTGATTCCCTTTACATAAGAACCGGAAGTCAGCTTGTCCTAGGATCGACATAATATAATATTTTCCATTTATTCCAGAAAGGGTAGGTTTTTGTTTGTTTGTTTGTTTGATTTGTTTTTTGAGGCACAAGTGGGAAGGATTTGACTGGGAAATTGATGTTTGCTTGCTTCTTTGTTTTTCTTAATGAAATGGCTCAAATTTGCAAAGATTTTGAATGATTCTGTATCTTCACGATTTAAGCATCAGGAGATGGGCTTAGTGGGTGACTGAGATGGAGGACAGAAGGAGAGAGACGCTAGGGTAGGTGGGATTTGGTGATGATGCATGAGGAACATGGCATTTCAGTTAATCCTGGAGACTCTAGCAACTTGGAGAGTTCCAGAGAGCACAGTAAGGTCGGGAAGGCGGGAGGGAAGCAGGCAGAGAAGGTGCCTTAGGAAGCCTTGCTCAGCAGCTGAAGGAAGGAGAGCCCTGCGTAGAGGGCGCAGAGGCGTGGGAGGGTGTCCGGATCCCACGTGTACTGGGGGCCGGATCTCTGGACTTCCAGGCCGCTCAGCCCCACTAGGGCTTCTGTGAGGGTCAGTTCCTCCTCCCCGAGGGAGGAGAGCAGGTCAGGCCGCAGAGGGAAAACACCCTCTTTATCTTGCAGGAAGTTCTGCTCCATGGTGCTTTCAACCTGCAAGGGACCAAAGTGGCCTGAAAAGGAGGAACCGAACCCCCTGCCCCTCTCCTGACAAAGGCAGGCTGATTACCCTGAACACCTAGGGAGCGGGAAGACACAGCTCCTAGGATAAGACTCCCAGTGGTTCCAGCTGTGCCCTCCCATCTGCGGCTTCTCCCTGGCATCTCACCAGCTTCAACTGCATTGGGAGGAGCTTCTTCTCCAAGGATTTTACAAGAAGCTTCTGTTGGGCTTCACTTAGCACTGGAGGGAAAAGCAGAGGAAGAAAAATGTGTTGCTGGTCCAGAGGGAACTACAGACTCCAAATAGTGACGTTTCAGAATTCCTGCACACTCTAGTCAACGAATCCATCTGTCCATCTGTCCATCTCTCCATCCGCCCGCAGCTGAACACCTGCTCTATAACGCACATCTTGGCTGGGCACTAAATGCAAAGTCGTGACCCTTGACTGAGTAAGGGGCATGAACCTTTAACCCCAGCGTGTGGGAGGCCGGAATATGGATCTCTGTGAGTTCGAGTCCAGATCATTCTACATAGTGAGTTCCAGGCAGGCCAGGGCTATGGTGAGACCCTGTCTAGAAAGCACAGCGAACCCCAATTCTAATCTTTTGCTGCAGTTTTGGGGGGAAGACAAAGTGGTGCTTTCTGTTTGTTTTTGAGACAGGATCTCATTCTGTAGCCCAGGTCGGATTAGAACTCACTCTGTAACCCAACGTGGCCTCAGACCCACAGTGATCCTCCTGCCTCAACCTCCTGAGTGCTTGGCTTATAAGGATGAGCTACCACAGTGGTGACAACCCAGGGAGTTAAGGAAGTCATAGCTGAGGGGTTTCCTTTGGGTTTGGCATTTTTCTTTCTTTCTATCTTTCTTTCTTCCTTTTTTTCTTTCTTATTTATTTACTGAGAACGGGTCTCACTATGTAGCTCTGGCTATCGTGGACTCACTCTGTAGACCAGGCTGACCTTGACCTCAGAGATCCACCTGCCTCTGCCTCCCAAGTGCTGGGATTAAAGGTGTGCACCACCATGTCTGACTTTTCCCCCACAATTGTGTGTGCATGCACATGTGTCTGTGTGTGCATTCAAGCACTCTCCTGTGCATGCCATGATGTGTACGTGGGAGGGACAGGACAACTTGCCGGAGTGGTGTCCCACCATGTGGGCACCAGGAATTGAATTCAGGTGGCCCAGCTTGGCAGCAAGAGCCTTTACTCATTGAGCCACCTTGTGATTGGTTACTCCCCAAAAGTAAAGCTAACAGGTGGGCAGCAATATGGAAGCCATGAACTTAGCTCTAGGCAGAAGGCTTAAATATGCAGCTAAATAAATAAATAAAGGACCAGCTGAGTTCCTAGGAATGAAACCAACAAAACCAATGGTGGTGACTGATTTTTTTTTTTCTCCCTCCAGTAGCAGGGTTTGAACTCGGGGCCCCTTAGCATTGCATTGCGTATGCTAAGCAAGTGCCACAATACTGAACTACATACCCAGCTGGAATCAATTTTTAAAAAGTGTTTATACAAACGACTGTAGTACAGACCACCTGGCATCCTCTCATTCACGCATTTGGGAAGTCATTCACAGGGTTTATTCTTGTAACAGAAAACCACGTGACTCACTGCTCACTCACCTGTTAGAGCCCCGAGGAAATAGAGGACGGCGCCCATGGCATCCTTTGACAGCAGGACGTCTTTTGGGAGTGCTTCTAGGGTCACTTCATGTCCCTTGTCTAGAGCTGCTTCGAGCTGTGAGGAAAACTGGGTGATTAATCCCTCAGGTAGGGTCTAACCTAGCACCTGGCACACATAGCTTCTGGACTCCGGCTGGCTCTCTCCCACTTCCTATTTCTTTTTTGTGTTTTGTGTAGTCAGGTCCTGGAAAGCCTGGACCTAGGTTCCTTGTTCCCTGGGTTTGGAGCTCTGGAAGGTTCAAGCTGTTATCCAGCAGAGGGCGCCACTGGCCTGTTGCTACACTCTGACAGCAGAGAGTGCACGTGCCTTCCGGGAACCCTGTGCCAATGCTCTTTTCCAGGGACTAAGGGGCCAGTGATGGCTAGTAGCCTAGGTACACTTGGCCAGCCTTGAGAAAGTATCCGCTGTGGATTCTATAGCCTCTGGCCGCTCTGTGCACTGTCAGTTCCCCCTCCCCATCTGCACCGGCCCACCACCACCCAGGCGCGCCTTCCCCCACACTTCCGGTTTTCCCCACGGGACCTCACCGTCTGTTCAAGGTCTTGGAGCTCTTTTTTCTTTCCTAGGAGGTTGCTGAGGGAGGTGAGCAGGGAGCTCTGCCCCACTTTACTCAGTTTCTCCACTTCATGAGTCTCTCTCTGAACCTCCTCTTTTAAAGTCTCGAAGTCGTCATGCATCTCCCCTAGGGGTACAGTCAACACCGCTGGCATCTCCCCTAGGGCACAGTCAAGGCCGAGGGCGCCCCTTCACCTGGCCCCTCCCACCCAGTATATAGTTTCTGCGGGCTCAGTCACACCTCCCTCTCCCCTCTCCACCCTGTGCCCTGCTTCCAGCTTGAATTGGACCTCTTTACCAAGGTGTGCGGTTATGAAGTTATGCTAAAGCCTCATCATGAAGGATGGAGCTAGAAGGCGGACGGGAACCCATGCAGTCAACTAACAGAACAGTTAACCACGCCTCCATTCCCACGACTCCCCCCCCCCTCCGCCCCGCCCCCCAGACTTCATCAGTTCGCAGTTGGTCTGTATTTTCAACCAGTCCAGCTAGCCGTTTAGGGTGAGCCTATTTCCCCTTCTCTTGTGGAAAGGACGCCTTTGACAACTTAGTGACAGTTGAGCTGGGACTGCTTCAGAGCAGTGAGGGTATGGATCCGGGGAAAGAAGTGAGCTGCAGCCTGGTTGCTTAGAGACCCGGCATCCTAAAAGTACATCCAGTCTGTGTTGGAGAGAGTGGCTTCCTGGAAGTGGCTCTAATTTCAGGACCTGGGACTCGGCCTTTTTCTTTTCCTTCCCCCCTAATGCTTCTCCCCCTACCTGTGTGGCAAAGTCTTGAAAACATTCCCAAAACTCCTTACCAACATCAGATGCCTGGATAACTGAGAAAATAAGAAAGTAAGCAGGCAGGTAAGAGCACGATCCTTCAGAATGGCGGCCACCCCTAGGCAGTGAGTCTCTGGGGACCATGAGACTGCACCGCCCCTCTGAGTCCCAGCCCTCTCCAGAATCCTCCGGCTCCATTCTTGCCACACAGTCCTGCGTGGCGGGAGTGGAGAGGAGGAGCTAATGCAATGTGAAAAGGGCAATCCGACCAAACTGGTGTCCGACCAGCAGCTTAGTGACTCAGTGCCTCCTGCCCTAGTTACTGGACAGCAGATACCTGTGCAAACAGGTTGCAGCTACTGGGGCCCTTGACAACAAAGGCCTGAGACAGCTGATCTCCTGCGCATCTTGTCTACAGATCTCCCCCTTCCGTGGCTTTTTCCTAACTTTCTGTTGGAGGTTCTACGGGGGGTTCTGTAGTTGAGGGGTAGCTGTTTGCTGAGACCTGTCTCACTAACTTCTCTGTCCTATGGAAGGGGGAGGAAGATGGGAGTTTTGAACCTGAGTCAAGGAAGTTGTGAAGCAAAAGGCACACTTACGTAAGAATTTTGCCTCTCCTGGCTTTTCTGAAAACACAAAAAGAGCACATCTGTCAGGACGAGCTCTTTGCTGCCTTTCGCTAAAGCTACTGTTAAGACTGCGTCCTCATGAAAACCCGGAGACCCTGTTAGCACACCCTGTCTCCAAATCTCTCTGTTCGTGATGGTGTCTTTGTTTCTTTGTCTCTCTGGGCAGTATTTATATCCCATACCTCTATCTGCCTGAGGGCCTAGGAAACAAGAGCGCATGCTCGTGCGCTGCTCTTAGAGGGTGGGAGATTTTAGGGGTTGACTTGGGGCAAGGGACGTGGGGCGCACCTACCTCCTGGAGGGAAGGTCTGCATGCTGTCATTGCAGATGTGTGGGATGTCTGTAATGGACAAGAGAAGGCACCCAAGAGTTACACCGGCTAACACACTCCTCCTTCTGTAGCCTCAAGCCCAAGGGTTCTGCTCAGGGCTAGATTCTGCCCCTCAAATGCCCCCTCTAATTCTCTACCCAACCCTACTGCTGGAAGTTGTAAGCTCTTGCCTACAATAGCATTTTCTCTCCTGAAATCCAGTTCTGGCAGCAGGATCTGTCTCCTTGGGCTTTCTAAGGTCAGAGGCTGTGCTGGTTTGGTCTTTGTGTCACTCCCTATGGCTTCCCCAGCACCCAGAGATACCTGGAACTCAGAGTCCCCCCCCCACTTCTGTCTCTGGCAATGGGCAATAGAATCTGCTGCCTCCCCGATCCCCCCACATCATTGCAAGATAGGACCAGGATGCCCCCGCACTGATGGAGACACCCCTATCTTGAGGGGAGAACGTGCCGGTCTCTGCTCACCCCACTCATCTTTGCCATTAACCATCAGCTGTCTCACACGAAAGGCCAGGACACAGCCCTTGGGGATGGTTACAGCCTCCTTGTGGTTCACGGATCCCTAGGGTTACACAATGAGAGTCTGTGAGTCCTCTGAGGTCCTGCATAGGCGACATTACAGCAGGGGCAGGAGGCAGGTGCGGAGCCGGGGCTGAGAGCCTCTGGGGAGGCCCCAGCAGGACCTCCAGCTGTCTCCAGCTGTCTCTGTGGTCTGGACTCTAGGGCTCACCCTCTACCGTGCTATGTCTGCTTCTGGATTCGACATGTGAAGGGAACTGGGCAGACCTGCTCCAGCACCTGCCTGTGCACCATCCTGCTTCCTCTTCCTCTACACCAACTACCCCATTCTTATCTCATCCAGGAAGTCTTCCATGACTAACTCCTCCCCTGCTCCCAATCCCAGGCCATCCCTCATGAACACACTCACTAGGTGTGTGTAGAGACGGAAGAGATGCACTTCCTTCTTCTGAATTGTCCAAGCCTACATCCTCTGGCCTTTCACTGTGTGTCTCGTGTATATGTGAGGACTTTTTTTTTTCTTTTTGATTTTTCAAAACAGGTTTTCTCTGTAGCTTTGGAGCCTGTTCTAGAACTAGCTCTTGTAGATCAGGCTGTCCTCGAAAACAGAGATCCGCCTGCCTCTGCCTCCCGAGTGCTGGGATTATAGGCATGTGCCACTGCCTGCAGAACTTTCTGACCTACCCCCACCACAGGGGCTCACCAGGTAGCCCAGACTGACTTTGAACCTGTGACCCTTCTGGCCTCTGCCTTCAGAGTGCTGGGATTACTGGTGCGCCCCCTCCCCCACCAGGCAGGAGCTCTGCTCTTCAGCTTTGGCAGGTGGGAGGGGAGGGATGAGGACAAACTCGGTAACACTTGGATTGCTCCGTATTGTCTGTGGTGTGTGGACCGGGACCCTGCCCTGCTTGGTACTGCTAAGCAAGGAGAGGGGTGTGTGGCCAACAACTTGGCTTTGGATATTTTTTTTCCATGTCCTCTATCCTGAGTAGGCACCATTCAGGCAGCGTTAATGGAGCCTGTGTGTGTGTGTGTGTGTGTGTGTGTTTGTGTGTGCGCACGCATGTGTGAAGCAAACCTGCAGTCCCAGCGGGGCAAAGAATGGAAGGGAGAAGCAGCCTTCTGCCTTGCCAGCTCTCTCCAGAGTGACTTCCTGCACCGTCTCCACCACCTCCATCACCACGTACAGGTTCTCCCCACGATCCCGCATCTCCTTAAGGAAGGGGTGATCCGCTGCCAGTTTCCTGAGGCAAGAAAAGCATAGGACATCACTCAGTGCCTCCTCGCCAGGGCCAGCTTCGGGGCTTTATATTAACGTTTATTTTATTTCTGAGATAGGGTCTCGCTATACAGCCTTGTTTGACCTGGCGTGCTCTCTCTCTGTAGAGCAGACTGGCCTTGAACTCACAGAGATTTACTTGCCCTTGCCGCCCAAGAACTGGGACTAAAGGCATGTGTCACCATGCCCCGCAGTGTCTACTTTTTAATTTGTCAATCCTAGCATCTAGACAGTAAGGTGCCAGGGAAGGAATGAGGGTTCAGTCAGACCACAGTGCAAACTCAGACCTCCAGCTTCCGGGCAGGGCAGTTGCTTTGAGTCTGCGTTGCCTCACCTATAAAACAGAGCTGACGCCAACAACCTCCCAAGGTGCAAGATAAACTGGGCAAACAGCCGGAGGCGCAGCACCTGGCCTGGATCGAGGCCTGGTGGTCACTTCCTCCTCTCCTCCTACCCAGGAACAGGTTCTCCTCTTGTGGCCTCTTTTTATGTGTCTGAGACTTCTCTGCCTCGTTTTTTTTTTTTTTTGTGTGTGTGTGTGTATGCACATATGATGTGTGTGTACATGGATATGTGCTACAGTGTGGGGGTCAGGTGACAGCCTCAGGTGTCTATCTTTGCCTCCCTCCTTGTTTAAGGTAAGATCTTTCATTGTCTGAGTATACCAGCCTAGCTGTGTCCTTCTTTCTCCAGTTCACACCCCCAGGGATTCTCCCGTCTCTGAGCCCTATCTTTCTGTGAGAACACTGGGTTCTCAGAGGCAGGACAGTACGTGCGCCTTTTACGTGGGCCCTGGGGATTAAACTCATGTACGCACACTTGTGGGACAAGCAGTGCACCTATTCCTGCCTCCGTTTCCCAGATGTGGCCCGTCACCGTCACCTCTTCTCCATCTTTAGTCTCACCTCTTGCCATTCCCAAGGCTTCGTCTCCTTCGCCTTCCTTCCGTATGTAAACACGTCTCTGCCCCTAAAAGATCTGCTTCCATTCCTGAACACTCCTTCAAACCACCACCCAACTTGTTTCCTTCGCCTTATTGGCAAAATCTCCAAAGATATTTGTCTTTGTCTAGTCTTTACCATCCCGTCATGATTTCTTCTGATTACTAATTTCTTCTAATTTGTCTTCTGATTCTGCCCGTCAGCTGAAATCACAATGGCCCTGCACGCTCTGTACTGGGTGCCCCTTCCTAATTGTGCAGTGTGACTGTGTTGTATCTCGGCTTCTAATTGTGTGCTGCTGCTTCTTCTCCTCCTATCTTTCTGGTTTCTAAATCATATACATTCTTCTTTGTTTGTTTGCTTGCTTTTGTTTTTAGTTTTTCAAGACCAGGTTTCTCTATATATCCCTGACTGTCCTGGAACTTGCACTGTAGATCAGGCTGGCCTCGAACTCACAGAAATCCACCTGCCTCTCTGACTCCCCAGTGCTGGGATTAAAGGTGTGTGCCACCACCGCCCAGCTCTAAATCATATACATTCTATCTGACTCCCATTTTCCAGTTCATTTGGAACCTTAATATTTTCTGTCCTCTGAGATTTTGCTGTTTTGTGTGTATGTGCGTGTGTGTGTGTGTGCATGTGTGTGTATGTGCATGTGTGTGTGTGCATGCGTGTGTGTGCATGTGTGTGTGTGTGTAAGCAAGAATAAAGCATCAGATCCCCTGGAGCTGGAGTTACTGGTGCTTGTGAACTGCCTGATGTGAGTACTGAGATCTGAACTCGGGTCCTCTGCAAAAGCAGCAAGTTCTCTTAGCCGCTAAGCCATCTCTCCCGTCCCCGAGATTCTGTTTTTATGCCTCCTCTCTGAGTATTCTCCAGCCTCCTCATCTCCCCACCCGATCCCTGCCATCCTGATTGGTATCTTGCTGACTGCCACATGTTCGTCTTTATCCTGACCGCTCTCTGAGCTTCCTGCCCCTTTCCCAGCTCCCCCTTGACCATTCTCAGGAGGTAGGTACTCCAATTGTGCCATGTTAGGAGCTGGCAGCCAGCCCTACAGAACTTCCTCGCTTCTGTCTTCCTGCTTGTCATCTCCAATGTCTTGTAATGTCACAACCTAAGTCAAGACCCAGAGTCACCTTTAACAAGACCCTCACCACCACCATGTCCCCATCACTCTATACCCAGCTGTTGCGTTTAATCCATCCCATCATCCTTTGCAATAAGCCTTGCACCCATTCCTCCCTGCCTTCCAGCCACAATTCCCAGCTCATGTCGGTAAATATAGCTTCTGTGTAATTATTCGAGTTTGGGCGGCTACATGGCGTCTGCCCGACTCTGCCTTCTTTCCTCCTCTGTCTCTGTTTAGATTTCCTGCCTTGCTATAGTCTGTCCTGCCATAAGCCAAAGCAGATTTGTTCTTTGCCAATGGTAACAAAACATACTCACAGCACACAGAGGCAAATCCCCCATCCCATGTCCTCATTTTATACGTCTGATGGGCAGCGGGACAGGGTCTCTCCTGAGACACTCCTAACCCCGCCTTCCTCTGTCTAACGCACTTCTTCCTTCTGGTCAGGTCGGTCACAGGCCACATCAGAGCCACATCAGGGTGTCCCTGGTGTCTGCTTATTGGGCTCCTTGACCTGGCTTCTGGTTCCTACCTGCTCTGAGTCTACCCTATAGCTTTCTCTCGTTCCTTTGGTGTCTCCTTTGCCTCTGTCGCGCTAGTTCTCCCATGGTCCCTCTTGGTCTTGAGACATCTCACCTGCTTGTCTTCATAACGCACTTCTCTCTCTGCATGCTCCCATCGCTCAAAGCCTCCACCCGAGACCACCACCTTGTGAGGGTCCTGTCTTACTTCCCCAGCCAGAAGCCCCCTCCCCGCCACAAGTCGAACCGAGTGCTTCCTATGCACGGATCACTTCTTGCATTGAATAATTACTCTTCTGTTTCAATATAGGGTTTTAATATGTAGCCTTGGCTGTCCAGTAACTCACTCCGTAGACCAGGCTGGCCTTAAATTCAGAGATTCGCCTGCCTCTGCCTCCCGAGTGCTGGGATTAAAGGTGATAATTATCTGCCACCACCAGCTGGATAATCACTCTTACAGAGTAGTTTTCTCCTTCCTACACCACAGGGTTGTTTGAACATAGACACTCTAGAAACACCAGCACATAGCAGGATGCCTTACACTCAGAAATCTGGAAGTGTTTCCAGGGTGACTTGTCATACTTGCAAGCCTTTCCTTCTGGCCCCTCCAGTCCTCACCTGCTTCTTTCAACCGCTACTTAATTATTTGAAAGTCAGGTCCCCTGTCAAGCCAGGCGTGTGCCTTGTGTAAACATCCCTTCCGACATACCCCTTGTCTGGTGGGGCAGCGGTCCCTAGGTGTGTGGATGGAGCCAGTCTGAAGCTTGCTTATGGGAGAGGGCTCCGGATAGTCTATGCCAGGAACAGTTACTATGACCTCTGCCTTTTCCATTACGTTTCATAGTCTTAGGGTTGAAGGAACCTTAGCAACTGTCATTCATTCCCACTGTGTGATAGCAAAAAATAAAAAACAAACCCAAAAAACTGAGGTTCCCTGAGAAATGACTTTCCCAAGGTCACACAGCAAGTGAATATGAACATCTGAACGTCCACATCTGTGTATGTGTGTGCTTATGGGTGTGCATGTGTGCATGCATGCATGCGTGGGGGGAGGAATGATACTGGAGGTGCTGGATGATGGGGGCAATGTCTAGGAAGGAGCTTGGTTGTGCCCATAGTTGCAAAAGATTCCCCTTGCCCCTGCTAGACTCCACTATTGAGCTACTTTCCCATCCCCCAGGAGAATTCTCTTTAAGGATGTTCCTGTGGAGACTACATTGGCAAAGGTCGGGGTGAGGGTTTTACCCTTCCACCTGTGGTCCAGAGCATCTGTGCACTGCCCAACCCCATCCCATCATCCCATCAGCCCCGGCCCCTCTCACCTCTCCTTGTGCAAGTTCTCCAGAGCCTTGGGAGCCACGCTGAGGGTCTGAACCTCCAGTGTGCTGCTTCGTGACAGGCCTGCAGTCCCTTTTACCTTCACCGTCTTTGGCACGTCCACATCTCCCTCCACTCGGGCATCCAGCATGTTCTTAAAGCTAAAGTTCCCAGAATCTGTGGGATCTACAGGAGGGAAAAGCCAGGAGCTGAACTGAGCTGAATCCCCATGGCGCCTCAGCACCCAGTGAGAACTGTGGGCTTGGTGACCCCTAACCACATCAGGCAAGAGAGAGCTCCACGGTCCTAGAAGGACCAGATGGCTGGTCCTAGCCCTACGGAACCCCTAGAGCCCAGCTCTGTTTGAGAGGCTAACCTGAGGGGCAGTTGCCTGGCTCCAGCACATCCAGGAGCGTGTAGTCGGTGCGGACATAGCGGGCTCCCCAGAATAGCGTGCTCTTCCTCTTCCTCAGCACCAGGCAGAAGGGATGGAAGCGCTTGAAGTCGATGAGGCTGTCTAGGGGTGTCAGATCCCCCCGAGGGTTCAGCTGCCTAGCCAGGGCTCGGGTAACATTCTCAAACATAGTCATTATGTCTGTGGAGAAAGAGATGGGGGATGTCAAGGTGGCCGCTGAGGATCCCAAGACCCGAGAGGGACTTTGTAAAGAGGGGTCACCAGGCTCTACTCCTAGAGCTAGGGGAGACCTTAGAGAGGCCTGGGTTTTTGAATGTTGGGTCTTGAAGGAACCCAAAGAGTCCTTATTTGGTGATGAAGAATCCTGGGTTTCAGAATTTACATGGCTGGCGGGAGACACCAGACCTCCCCTTTGTCAAGGGCTCTTTTCTTATTATATGTTATTATTATATTAATATATTATTATATAATATATTATTATGTTATTATTATATTCTTATTATATGTTCATTTCTTCACAGTCACGGAGCCCAGCTGGCGTGTCATCAATAGAGGAAGTGAGGCTTCCTCTCATACCAGGGGACAGCTGTAACCAGAACCTGGGGACACTAGGGAAAGGAAGCAACCACCCCTGGGGCCAATAGTGGACAGTCAGAGCTGGGTACCGTCCTCAGTTGCCTTTTCCTTGGCAAGGGGACACTTGCTTGAACCCTGAACATCCCTCACCCCTGCCTCCTAGCGACGTGGCTATAAGGAGGCCAGTTCCCACTCCTTTGCCTTGGTTTCCCCTGCCTACATTACACCCCTTTTCCAATAGAGAGAATTCGTAGTCATCCTGTACCACTCAGTTCAGGGCACCTGCTCAGCCCTTTACCCCTCGGGCGTGTTGGTAACTCTGCCTGGATTCCCAAGGCACCTTGTAGATCCACTTCGGAAACACCTGCTAATTCATCTTGTTACCATCTGTTCACCTGCCTGTCTCACCTCCTGTAATCTCCCAGAGGACAGGAAATGAGCCTTAGTCACCTCTGCAGCATCAGCACCAGGCGCTGTGCCGGGTAGAAAGAAGGGAAGAATGAACGTGACCCTGGGAGATGTGCTGGGGTGAGAGGGTCCAAGGAGGACCTGAAGTTCACGTTCACTGTCTTCCGTCTCTGTCTTTGAAGTCCAGGAACATCACCTGGGCAGCCAGAGACACACCCAGATTATCCTGGTGGGTGGCAGTGGACACATCAGCTAGCCTCCAAGGCTAGCATCCATCCTCCCTCCCTCCCTCCCTCCCTCCCTTCGTCTTTTCTCTCACAGGATAACCTCCAGGGACCAGAAGAGCGGCCCTGGGAAGTGCTCTCCATTAGAGAAGCATTCAGAGGGTTCTCTCTTCTCTCTCAGAAGCCTACCTTGATACCTGATACCAACTCCCAGTGATATCCAGGGGGAATTTTATGGCCACAATAAAAGACAAGAAACCCCACACCTTTTAGTCCAACGATTCCCCCAGACCCCCAGAATGTTCCCCTGCCTCCTCTGCTGTCACCAATCTTACCAGGGAAGGAGTGATGCTGGGTCCTGTCTGGCAGCTGGGGGTGGGGTGAGGGCCCAGAGCTCGCTCTGTCTACAGGTTGGCAGAATGACTGTCTCTTACCAGGACGGGCCACTTTATGCCTCTGCGGAGGTGGGACGTAGGCTTCCTCAGACCCTGCCTGCCTCAACGGCCCCACCCCTTTCTGTCCCACTTCCAGGAGAACAGCATCAACCTGTTCCGTGTGCCCCGCCTCAGGCCCTGGGCCCTGGCCTCCTAAGAGATGAGGGGGTGGCTAGGGAGCTGCCACGCAGGTGCCAGTGTAGGTGTGGATAGCCGGGGTTGAGAGAGAAAGAAGGTGGCAGCTGAAAGTTGCTTGGGGACACTTTAGGGAGCAGGGAGGCAGTGGGAGTCAATCACATGTGTATATGTATACCCTAAGTGTGCTTGTATGTGTACACGGGGGATAAGGGTGGATCTCTTCTCTGCTGTCAACACGGTCCTTCAGGAAGCATGTGTGATTCGTGTGATTCATCTGAGGCCTGTGGATGTGATACATGATAAGAAATCCTGTATGTTCAGGGACAGCAGAGCAGCTGAGGCCCTGCCCTTCATCTTTCTGTGCATCAGCCTGCTGATCCCTACCTTTCTCTGCTGGTGCTGACAATACAGGCACAGCTTAATACCAGTGTACACACCCGTCTGGGGAGGCAGGGGTAGGGCGAGCTCGAGTGGCCTTCAGTGGTTCAGCATTCCGTTCATCTCTGCTTCTCGAGGAATACTGAAGACACGCAGTGGAGGCGGGTCCCAGCAGTGTGAGATGGAAAGCTCTGGGATCCAGCGGTCACCCTGCGGGTCGCTCAGGGTCTGTCCTTATGTTTAGTCTCTGCTTGGAAATAATTTAAGAGGATTCTGCAGGCACGGGTAGGGCTCCAGAATACAAATAACATGCTTTACAGCAAGGCCCTATGAAGAGTCAGTTTGCTGGAGATTTCCTTCGGGGGCTGAGGGTGGCGAGGATATAATTTCATACTCTGTGAAACTTTGTTACTTTATCACTCAGCTGGGCAGGGTGGCGCACTCCTTAAATCCCAGCACTTGGGAAGCGGAGGCAGGTGGATCTCTGAGTTCAAGGCCAGCCCGGTCTACAGAGAGAGTTCTAACACAGCCAGAGCTCTTGTTACACAGAGAAACCCTGTCTTGAAAAGAAAACAAACAAAAATTTACAAAAAACCACTTTATTATTTCATTTCCTCAAAGCCTCCTTCAACAGGGAGGATGTTTCCTTGTCACTTTTCCCAATGTCACAGTAACACTTTGCCCCGCCTCTCTGGTCCCCATCCCTCATCCTTTTGCTGCCTCACTTCACGCCTTTCTGGTATAGCAATTGGCCACTAAGACAGCTCCAACCCCTGCTTGTAGTCAGGTGTCCATCTCCCTCAGGGGAGGCACGGTTGGGGACTTGGTAGGTAATGGTCGTCATTGGTCATCTGTTTTTTGTCATGTGAGCATATATGTGTAGAAACGTGGTATATGTGTTATGCACGCCTGCCACCCTGACCCCCCGGATTTCTGCCTCTGTCTCTTTGGATCACTGCACTGGTAAGGTGTCTGAACTCTGTATATAGTCTGGGGCTGTGCAGACTCCTATCCCGTCATCAGCCCCGGGAAGGAGGCCCAACTGCCCATTACCTGGGCCAGACATTGGGGAGGTTCTTCCTAGAGTCTACCCTCGTCCAGTGGCTGACGGCCGAGCTGTCTTGTCTCCTTGCTCTTTGGAAGGTCTACGAAGCGGGAGTTGAGTCAAGTCACACATGTGTTTGTGCTTCCTGAGGACCCCAAGTCCCTGTACCAGTTCCTCCCTCTGGCCTCTCATCTTGCTTCTTTCAATTCTCTTGCCGTCCTCCTGTCACGTGGATCTCCCTTCCCTGCTCCCTTCACGCGGCTCTCTCTCTACCCTGCCGTCCTCCCTTCATGTGGATCTCTCTCTAGCCTGCCGTCCTCCCTTCACGCGGCTCTCTCTCTTCCCTGCCATCCTCCCTTCACGCGGATCTCTCTCTTCCCTGCCGTCCTCCCTTCACGCGGCTCTCTCTCTTCCCTGCCGTCCTCCCTTCACGCGGATCTCTCTCTAGCCTGACACCGTTCTTGTCCTACCTCCACCTCATCTCTGCCATATTGCACCATTTCCCCAGACTGACTAATGGTGTCTTAAGCACTGGCTTAGAGGGCTCAAGGAAGGAAGAAAGAGGAAATGAAAATATGTCCAGGTGTGTCCCTGGGCTGCTGCACGTCACATGCAGGATGCCCTGACTACTTTACATCCCTGGTCTCCTCCTTGAAATTTGCTTAGTAAGAGTGTTGGCTTATTGTGTTCAGGGCATTTAGGTAAGAATTTAAATTGCACTTGAATGAATTTAATTAACCTGTCAGATTCTTCTTCTTCTTCTTCTTCTTCTTCTTCTTCTTCTTCTTCTTCTTCTTCTTCTTCCTCTTCTTCTTCTTCTTGTTTTTTTTTCCCCCCAGACAAGATTTTTCTGTAGCTTTGGAGCCTGTGCTGGAACTAGCTCTTGTAGACCAGGCTGGTCTCCAATTCACAAAGATCCGCTTGCCTCTGCCTCCAGAGTACTGGGATCTGTCAGAATTCTTTGTGTGTGTGTGTATTTAGAGTTTGTGTAGCCCAGGGTGGCCTTGAACACACGTCCTCTTGTCTCAGACTCTTGAGTATTGGGGTTACACTTGAGCTTACTACCCTTGATTCTGTAAGAAGTTCTAAATTCTTATTTTATTTATTTTTGTTTTATGTGTAAGAGTGTTTAGCTGAACACATGTAAATGTGACTAGAAGACAGCATCAGAGCCCCGGATCCGCAGTTACAGGTGGTTGGGAGCTACCATGTGACCATGTGAGTGTGGGGACTAAACCCAGTCAATCCTTTGTTTGTTTGTTTGTTTGTTTTATACAGGGTTTCTCTGTGCAGCTGTGGAGGCTGTCCTGGAACTCATGCTCTAGACTAGACTGGCCTCGAACTCACAGTGATCTGCTTGCCTCTCCCGAATGCTGGGATTAAAGGCATGCACCACAACCACCCGGCTTTACCACCAGCTTTGGCACTGAGCCCACAACAGTTCTCAGTTTGGGGTTAAGCCACTTTTTCTGGGTTTGCTTGGTTTTGTTTTATCCTCCGTCTCCGTCCTCCAGGTCTCTGGCCTGACCTTGGGGATTCTTACAGGAGCTGGAGAGAGATGGCTCAGTGGTTAAGAATGAGTATTGCACTTGCAGGGGGCCTGAGTTCGAGTCTCAGAAAAATCAAAAAAGAAAAAGAAAAAAAAGTTAATGGTAGGTTTTGATCTTTATCTCCCTCTGGTGGTCAATTCATGTAAGTGCTAACTCATCTCTGATCCACTGATACGTGTACATATGTATGTGTGTATGTATGTATGATGTATGTGTGTGTGTATATGTATGTATGTGTTGTTAGTAAATGGGAAAAGGAGGAAGACTCCCCAGCTGCATGCTCTTTGGGGACTTGTCTCTTTCTGTCACAGGAAGACAGACACAGACATAAGACAGGCTTTTATTTCCTTGTTTTTCTTTTTACTGCTGCTGACTTTTCCCTTTGGAAAGGGCCAAAGAGTAAAGAAAGAAAAGCAGACTGAGAGAGTCCCGAAGTTTGGGAGTCATGGATCCTGGCAAGAGTGGGGAATCTGACATCTGGAAGTCAAGGGGCAGAGGAGGTTCTGAAATGCAGGGGATGGGGTGCACCATGAGGTGCTGGGTGGCTGGAGCAGCTGGGGACAGTGACTTCTCACCCAGACACATCCTCAGCTTCCCCAAGTGAAGGGAGATAGAGAGGATGGCAGTGGAGACATGATGGAAGGAAGGAACGACTGGGGCAGGGGGAAGCTGCCCCAGGGGTGCTGTGTTTATATCTCACCTGGAGGCAGAGAATTTTGGGGTGCAGGTTCTCCTCTCTTCTTGCTTCTGCACCTCTGCTCTCCTCCCCTCCCCCATCTTCTCCTCTCTCCTTCTCCCCTCCCCCATCAATATAGAGTGCAGGCTGGCCTCAAACTCCAGACTCCCCTGCCTCAGCTGCTTGGGTGCTGGGGTTATAGTTGCATGTCATCATGCTGACCTGCTGTTTTTCATCTTTTCCTGTCCTCTCCTCCTTTCCTTCCCCACCTCTTTCCCCATCTGTCATGTCGATATAAGCATAAAGGTTACTGCAAGCCTCAGTGCCAGTTCTGAGAAATTTCTTCTGTCTGCTGCTCCCCCCCACCTCCAGGACCTCTACCCTTCCCAAGGCCCCGATGTTGCACCAGTGACAGGCATCGGCATCTTGCCCACCACGTGGTTGGTGGAAGAGATGACATCTTCCTTAGCTGAGACTGCTCGACCTGCCTGCTGGGACATAGCTTCCTCGTTCTTGCTGAAGAGCCTGGACCCCAGGTAAGGAAATCTTGGGGTCACAGCTCCCCCAGACTTATTCCAAAGCTCCACTCAGCTTTACACAACCACAGCTGCAGCAGGGCAGAGGGTGGGTTTTGTTGAGCAGTGCCCCCCAAATGGAGGCAATATTAGGGACCGTAGAGTTGTGACAAAGCGCTTGGCTTTGGGCATAGAGAAGCTTGTCTGCATGTGTGTTTTGCTTTGTTGGACACCGTCTCACGTAGCCTAGGCTGACCTTGAACGGTCCACATAGCTGAGGCTGGCCTTGAACTGCCGATTCCCCCACCCCCCAGCCTCATGAGTGCTGGGATTACAGACATTTGCCATCATGACCAGCTGTCTGCTTATATGTAAAGGTCAGAAAAACCCCATCAGGGTTTAGTTACTGGTGCCTCATCCAGATACCACAGAGCATCTAGACATGAATCTGGAATGGCCCTGCCTCTACTTGGAAGGAATTCTGGTCCAGGATGGCCTCCATCTGCACAGGAGGGAAAACAGAACAAATGAACAACAAAAAAAAAAAACCACAAAATATTTTGCACTCCAAGAGCCATTGACTTCAGAGATGAATTGCAGCAAACATTTTAAAATTCAGCTCCATCTTCATCCTTAATGAGTCTCTCGAGACCATGAGTGCTA